CGAGGGTCGTCAGGCTCTTCTTTCTCGTGCTACTTCGGAGAATTCGATCATAAAACTTCAATCTCTGATTAGGGTTTCTTGCTTCTCCCCAGTTTTGAGGTAATTCCATCGCTCATTCTTATCAGCTACAATAAAAAATACTCTTTTTTTTCGTTCTAGGGTTCTTGCATCCCAATTCCCCATTGTGAAAACAATTTCCCCAAATTCTGTGATTTTCCCTGAGCAATTCTACGGTGTTCTCTTCAATTCAGATGTAATGTTGCTTCTTTATCTGTAGTTAGTATTGCTGTGTTCGGTTATGTGTCTGATTCTACCTGTGTCGAGGAGCTCATGTTATCAATATTAGGGTTTACAAGAATTAGGTGTTCTGGAATTTAAATTGGACGATAAAGTTGAAAACTTTGCCTCTTTTCCCTGAATTTCTTCCTTTTTTAATTCAATTGGAATGTTTGCTCGTTGCAATTTGATGATGATTGTGGTTTTCATGAGTGGTGGATTCAAGTTTCTGGAGCTAAATGCTTGATGGTTGAGTTAAAAATCTGAAGAAAAAAAATCGGACATTTGGCTCTAAATGTGCCTTCATGATTGAGATGACATTGTTTTGCATCGATTTCACTTTAGCGAAATATTAGTTTCATAGTGATTGTGACAGCTCTAATCAGAAAATTTAGAGCTTTGGTTTCTTCTTCATCCTCTCTGTTCAATTGCGATTTTTCGCATCTAAAAGCATTAGGAACCACGCGACTGTATGTTGGGATTGAACGGAATTGATAGTTTGGTTGTGTATTGATTTCTTGTACTGCTTGATGCAGGACATGACAGGGAAACGGGTCATAGCAATATGTATGTCTGGTGGGGAATTTCAGACAGAGAAAGGCGGATCGCTGTCTTACAAAGGCGGCGATGCTCACGCGATAGACGTGGACGAACAGATGAAATTCAAAGACTTTATCTCGGAAATTGGGGAGATGTTTAATTGCGATGTCAGGACAGTTTCTCTGAAATACTTTCTCCCGGATAACAAGAAGACGCTCATCTCGATCTCTAACGATAAAGATTTGAAACGGATGATCAAGTTTCACGAAAACGCAAACACCGCTGATGTCTATCTCATACCTGAAGAAGCTGCTCCCGACATTTCAAACATGCCGGCTAGCAGGTAACCAAAGCTGCTGCATGAATCATCATCGCCTTATCTTTGCTGGACATTCTTGGTTTTCTGAAAGTCACTTTTATTCTCTTTCCAGATCAAGCAGAACTACATTGTCTGAAGCGATTCCCCCAGTTCCTCTGGACGACATGATAGATGACACAACGGGACCAGAAGATCTTCCCGTCTCAGTCTCAATCTCAGCCCCTCCTGTTGTGACTATGGAGCAAGCTGTGAACCGAGTTGCAGATGCACAGATTGTTATTCATCAACCCGATATGATGTCATCGATTCTTGAAGTCCCGAATCCGAAAGGAGATATTCTCACAAAGGCAAGAACACAGCAGTGGCAGAACACAATCACAGGAGTGGGACAACGGTTTAAAAACGTTGGGGAGTTCCGTGAAGCGCTGCGGAAGTACGCAATCGCAAATCAGTTTGGATTCCGCTACAAAAAGAACGACAGCCACCGTGTGACGGTTAAATGTAAAGCCGAAGGTTGTCCTTGGAGAATCCACGCTTCGAGGTTATCAACGACTCAACTGATATGTATCAAGAAAATGAATCCAACACATACTTGTGAAGGTGCCGGCGGGATTAACGGTCTTCAGACGAGTAGGAGCTGGGTTGCTAGCATTATCAAAGAGAAGCTGAAAGTTTTTCCTAACTATAAACCGAAAGACATTGTCAGCGACATCAAGGAAGAGTATGGGATTCAACTGAATTATTTTCAGGCATGGCGCGGTAAAGAAATTGCGAGAGAACAGCTTCAAGGATCATACAAGGACGGTTACAAACAACTTCCACTGTTCTGCGAGAAGATAATGGAAACTAATCCGGGTAGCCTCGCTACATTCACAACAAAGGAAGATTCGAGTTTTCACCGTGTTTTCGTTTCATTTCAAGCCTCGGTTTTTGGTTTTCTCGAGGCGTGTCGACCGCTGGTGTTTCTCGACAGTATGCCGTTGA